TAACTGCAACTTCTGTCATCTGTGTTGTTTTTTAATTGGTATATTCAGATTCCCAGAAAAGGGAATTGGGGAAAGTTAAATTATCGTAAACTTTAAATAGATTCAATTAAATTATTGCTTGTTTATCGTCGTTAACAAAGAAATTGAAACTTGAAAGTGTACCTGTGTGACAGGGGCTCTCAGCTTTGATTCTAGCACTCAGACAAATACCCATCGAAAATTTTCTTCTTGGAAAGGGGTCTCTGTCACTTCAACAAGGTTATTCGAAGAACAAGAACCTCGCTACAGTTTTTAAAAGGTAAAAGAAGATTAGAATAAGATAAAAAGCAGACCTGGGTGTGAAAAGTTGGAAGATTGGTTATCCCAAGGAGCAAAAAGCTTTGTTCACTGGAACTATGTTTCACCATTAACCACGTAACGATTTGATGAAAAAAATAGTTTTTTTCTTGACGATTTGTGGGAAACAAGATGAAATCACACAAACCCACAACGAGGTTCAACAGCAAAACAATGAATCTGTACCTCTTTTTTTTGAAAAAATCAAAAATTTGCTGTCCTCCGAGAGAAAAGAGAAAGAACAGGGTAGTGGTTAGTGGCTATGGTTAATTGAGAAGTTTTTGGGTGGTTAATCAAATGAGTCAGGTGGGGGTGAGGGAGGGAGGGAGGGCGGCCTGTTGGAGTGGTGGATGTAGGTTAAGATAAGAGGGACATTAATATCGGAATCTGTCATCCAGCAGCTGGGATTGTGTCTACGAGACTTCAGCATTGTTAGGTGAGTTACCTTCCAGTAGGGGTGGGTCTAAGGCATCAATGTCGGCCCACCAGTGGGGTGATTATGTTTGAGATGATTGTCTTTGTGATAATTATCTGGTTTCCATTATTTGATATGCTTATTATGCTGGGATGTTATGAGATATGTGTTAGTAGTAGTAGTAGAGGTGCAATAGTCCCCAGTTACCGGTTGAAAGATACCGAAGCCGGTTACCGGTTGAAAGATATCGAAAACGGTTACCGGTTGAAAGATATCGAAGGGGTGGACAGAACCCATGCATGCCTAGCAGTATGTTTATGATATGTTATTATTTGACCTGTATGGTTATGATATGCCATTATGTGAGCAGTATGTTTATGATATGTTATTATGTGGCTAGTATGGTTATGATATGCCATTATGTGATTCAGTATGTTTATATTATGTTATCATGGAACCAATATGTTTATGACATGTTATTATGTGGTAGTGGTAGGGGGTGAAATAGTCCCCGGATACCAGTTGAAAGATACCGAAGGGGGGAGGTTAGCTCCCGGTTACCGGTTGAAAGATATCGAAGGGGAGGTTAGCTCCCAGTTACCGGTTGAAAGATACCGAAGGGGGAGGTTAGGTCCCGGTTACCGGTTGAAAGATACCGAAGGGAAGGTTAGTTCCTGAGTACCGGTTGAAAGATACTGAAGGGGAGTCCAGCTCCCAGTTATGTCAGATAGATACCGATTGAAAGATACCGAGGGATAGACATTATGTGGTATGATGGGGGAACTCACTAAGCTTCGTGCTTACGGTTTACAGTTTTGATTTCAGGTGCTTTATTTTCAAAGGAAAGGAGCCGGCTTGATCGCAGCGCATCACACTATGATTTATACACATGAGATCCTTGGGATTACACTCTGAGATGGTTTTATGATATTGTGTTTTATGATTGACACTTTGGTTTTGACATGAGACGTTATTATTGACGGTTTTATTACAAATGGTTTTATATTAGCTTATTTAAAAATAAAATTTTTGACCTGTATTTTTGGGATGTTACACACAGAGAGAGAATAAATATCATTTCAATTTTAAAGGAATATCATTTCAATTTTACGTACAAAAAAATAATAATAATAAAATAAAAATAAAAAACTTAGTTTTGACCTTTTATATAAGATAGAAAGGTATATCAAAGAAAGCAGGGTACTGTGGCCTTCAACTAGTCGACCATACTTACCAAGTGCTTTCTATCCCATTGAAACCAATCAATTCCATTGGTACCAATCAACTATCTACAATCCGCATCATGTGATCATAAAAATCTAAATATACACCTCATCATGTGATCATAAAAATTAGGAATGTTGATTATTACAATTTCAAGCCGTACCTGTACAAAATTATCTTCTAGTGTTTAAATAAAGTGATTATAATAATGTTTATCTGATTATTTGAAGTTAAATAATAAGTTTACGAATGTATGCGACAAAAAAAATTATATAAAGGAAAAGAAAAGACACTACTACTTTTGTTTCATCTCCAATTTTAAAACTTCTTCAACAAAACCTTTTTATAAAGGAAAAGAAAATATATATATATATATATATATATATATATATATATATATATATATATATATATATATATATATATATATATATATATATATATATATATATATATATTTAAAGCTATTTATCTTATGAAAATAGAACTTTTAAAATCATAAACAACAATATTTTTTAATAATATTGAATATTATTGTTATAACAGAAATAAATTTTCATATTAAACTTAAGTCAATCAACAATACATACGATTAAGAATTTTACTTTTAATGATTTTGTTTTAAGATTTATCAAACATTCAAACTAACCTATAAACAAAATTATAAGCATCACATCTAAACACCACTTTTTACAACCCCTTTTTATTATGATTAATTGTTTGATTCTGATTATTTAATATCAAATAACCACCGGGCATCGGATATCCCTAAATGTGGAAAAAAGCTAAATTTCCAAATAAACTAAAGTTGTATTGTATCCTACAAGGCACAAGCACACAAGCTTTGCTTAAATACAAACTCAAACTCCAAATTGGATCTCAACCACTATGCTTTCTTCTCAAACAAGGTTAAACCCAAAAACAACTATACACCATTCAGCCAAATTCAATACCAATTCAAACATATCCTTCACCAACTCACTTACTATAAATAGCAGAAACCGAAGGTCTCGGGTAACCCGTGGGACCCGACTTATGACCATCAACACCCTCACGTGGGACCAATCTCCGTGTTTGTGTTTCATTAGTAGAATGTCTTCGTATCCGTGTCATTCCTTTTGGATCTTGAAGTAGTTCTAGCTCTTTAACCACCTCAGCCATGCTAGGTCTAAACCGTGGGTCCATTGAGACACATCGTAGGGCCAAATTTGCAGCCGCGTGGGCCCCGTCTAACGTGTATTGCCCTTCGAGGCGGTTATCAAGGACACGAAAGAGTTTACGTTTGTGGGGAAGGTACGGTTTGGCCCATTCAACTAGACTGTGTTCGCCTGTGGGCCGGTTTTTGTCTACGGCCCTTCGGCCTGATAACATTTCAAGAAGGACCACACCGAAGCTATATACATCACTTCTTGCGGTTAAATGGCCTACAATTGTTGGAAAATGTGAAATATATAAGCATCAAATTTTGTTAAAAATTGGAAGTTGATTGCTATTTTGAGATGTACCCGTTGCTAAATATTCGGGAGCTGCGTATCCGTAGGTCCCCATGATCCTGGTTGAGACATGACTTTTATCTCCGGTTGGTCCATCCTTGGCTAGACCAAAATCCGAGAGCTTCGCATTATAGTCCTATATGAAATGAAACAATTAGATTGTTAGATATATGGAGTCCTTGATCCTTTTTATCCAAGAATACCAAAAAACACCATTTGGATGACTTTTAAATATGTGGAGTCTTTGATTTATAATTCTAGAAGCCCAAGACCTTGAGAAAACATGTATGTTAATTTAAGTTAGCTCTGATATCATATCATGTTAAATAATGAGAATACGTTGGTTTGGTTTGCGTTAAACAAGAAATGTAAAAGATCTAAATTCAAATCAAGACCACTTACTGAATCAAGCAAAACATTAGAAGTCTTGAAATCCCGATAAATCACTTTGTTTTCGGCATTATGAAGAAAAGCAAGTCCTTTAGCGGCTCCAAGAGCAACCTTTAAACGAAGGCTCCATGAAAGTGGTTGAAAGTAAGATCCTCCTATCAAAAACAAGAATCATCAGAAACCCATGAATCATCTCTTAAAAAGCATCTTTAGTCTTTACTACTACTACTACTAATTAATTAATTAAAAGAGAATCATAAAACTCACTCCTGAATAAATGATTTTCCAAGCTGCCACGTGGCATGAATTCGTAAACCAGAAGCCGATGTTCATCTTCCAAACAATATCCAATCAAATTCACAAGATTCGGGTGAGAAAATTGGCCCAAATAATTCACTTCCGCCTACAAAAACAACACAAAAATCCGATCCCATTAAAAAAAAAACGATTCATTTGAATAAGAATAAGAAAGAGAGTAATTAGTAATTAGAAAGGAGGCTCAGCTCACCAGCCACTCCCTGTGACCTTGAAAGCTTTCTTGATTGAGTCTTTTAACGGCGATCACAATTCCGGTTCCCGGCTTTGTAGCGACCAACGACTGCTCATCGATCCACCCTTTGAAAACGGAACCAAAACCGCCTTCTCCCAAAACGCTATCTGGCCGGAAATTTCTGGTCGCTGTTTTAAGATCGGAGTAGCTAAAGCTCTTCAGATTCGTTGATTGCAATATTTCTCCTTCACTCCGGGGAGTCGGAGGAACCGATGAGACCTTGCTGCTAAAGGAAGTGCTAATTCCATTTCCATCCGTACTTACATTTCTTGAACTTACCCCTGAATTATGGATACAATACCATAAATTAGACGATTGATTGATTGATTCCCTTTTCGGAACATTCTAACTGCAACTTCTGTCATCTGTGTCGTTTTTTAATTGGTATATTCAGATTCCCGGAAAAGGGAATTGGGGAAAGTTAAATTATCGTAAACCTTTAAATAGATGCAATTAGATTATTGCTGGTTTATCATCGTTAACAAAGAAATTGAAACTTGAAAGTGTACCTGTGTGACAGGGGCTCTCAGCTTTGACTCTAGCGCTCAGACAAATACCCATCGAAATTCTTCTTCTTGGAAAGGGGTCTCTCTCACTTCAACAAGGTTATTCGAAGAACAAGAACGTCGCTACAGTTTTTAAAAGGTAAAACAAGATTAGAATAAGATAAAAAGCAGATCTGGGTGTGAAAAGCTGGAAGATTGGTTATCCCAAGGAGCAAAAAGCTTTGTTCACTGGAACTATGTTTCACCATTAACCAAAAGATAGTTTTGTTTTTTTCTTGACGATTTGTGGGAAACAAGATGAAATCACAGAAACCCACAACGAGGTTCAACAGCAAAACAATGAATCTGTACCTCTTTTTTTGAAAAAATCGAAAATTTGCTGTCCTCCGAGAGAAAAGAGAAAGAACAGGGTAGTGGTCGGTGGCTATGGTTAATTGAGAAGTTTTTGGGTGGTTAATGAAATGAGTCAGGTGGGGGGGTGAGGGAGGGAGGGCGGCCTGTCGGAGTGGTGGATGTAGGTTAAGATAAGAGGGACATTAATAGCGGAGCTGCCCCCATTTTGGCATTATATACAGTGGTGGGGATAAGGGTTTCCATAGTTGCATCATGCATGATTATTAAAGCTTGGCTTATTTCAAAACTCGCCCACCAACTTAACGAATTATTTTTCATCTCATGATAAATTGATAATCGATAATTTGTTGATCAACTTTATCGTTATTTTAAGGAAAAAAAATGATATTTTTGTTTGCTGATTTTTTTTTAATTGTTATCATTTTTAGCGATTTATCCCAAAAATGTTTCGACTGCACCATTGATCCAAAACTTTGATTTTCATGTTTGGTCAATCTTTTTAAAATGACAAAAAAAACTTATTATCAACTCTCTCTCTCTCTACTACTACTACTACTACTCTTCCCTAGATATGAGCATGGCTGAGTACCCGCTTCATTGCGCCAAAACCGAAACCAGCGGTTCCTGTGAAGTTAAAACAGGAATTGGAACGGGTCTAGATGGTTCTTAAATTTTTAGAACCGCTTCCGGAAACGAGTAACCGAGTTACATCATTTTTTTAGTTTCGTTAATGCATAATGATTCTTAGTCATTGAAACAAAAAGTAAATATTATAAGTAGTTCATTATCATACAAGTTCAAAACAAAAAAATGATTTAAAAGTTGCTAAATATAAGTCATAAACCAAAGTTCATGTTCTTATCATCAACTTGTTAATGTTATTTAAAATCACATCTTTTCAAAAGATATTATCATATTGTTTTACAATAATACATTTACATTCATATCATACCATTTGTTTTGAAGAAGAGTGAGAAAGCATTGTCGGTCTCCGAATTTGTTTTCCGGAACGCCACCTTTCTTGTCGAAGCGTCGCCTCCTCCTTATGACAAAATCATAAAGGTCATCGGTCTCTGGATCGGTTTGCTGAAACGTCGCCTCTTCGCACCCTTCGAAGCCAGATCTTTCATCTTCTACCCAAACAATTTACGGGGTTCACTCCATAAATGTCATCGTCATTCTCCCTCTTTATCTTTCTCTTGATGTAACTCTGGCGGTGACGATAGGAAACCTTCAGATCTGAAAATTAAACCTCTTGCTGGAGCTCGGGTAACGAACATATATCATACAATTTGTTGGTGCCGAAAACCCACTGTCGTAGCCACCTCTTATAGCAAACCCTAGCGTTGGCGCATGTCATAGCAAACTCTATTGTCATTCTATGTCTCTCTTATATGTCTGAGGTGGTTTAGGGTTGGCAAACCTAATTCCATATGTGTCTCTTCGTTTCACTTCTTCTATGACGACGGCTTCCGGTTGTAGGGGTTGTGATGTTGCTGATAGGTGATGGTGATGGTGGTGTTAAGTGATGCACGGATAAAAGGGATGAGGGGTGACTACATTTTGTCTTTTCTTTTATATTTATTTTAATAAAAAAATATTAAAATTAATAAAAGAAAATAGTAAAAAAAAATACTAAGGGTAAATATGTCAACTTAAATATTACTGTAATAAAATGAACCACAATCGCAACAAAATGAAAGTTTTTGACCAGTGGTGCTAGTCAAAACTTTTTTGGATCAAAGTAGAAATTTTCGACATACCACATGAACCATTTTTGTAGATTTGTCAACTTGTTATATTGTACGTAATGAATTCTTATGTGAAACTAGGTTAAGTCAGTGATTTAGGGTATGATATTTTAAGAAAATACGAAATTAATTATGTGGCTATTGCATATAATTATTCTCTTATACCCTTCATTTAACTAGAACAACTATTTACTACTCAATTGCTCTGTGACATCCCCAATTTCACGGTTCCGTAAAAGTATTTCTAAAGAAATGTTTTTTTTTGTTGATTTACAAAAGTTTTTGGAATGTCATAACTGATACAAAATATAAGCATAGACAGGCCTTGCAATATCTTATACTAACAATTTACATCACCTTGAATCTCTCATTATGCATGTAGATTTGTACCGCTACCTGTGATACAATAAACTGAGTGAGTCAGGTTGGTAAACATGGTGAGTACATAGGGTTTTCAACCTACAAGGATAAAATAATATAGTTAATATGTTTAATTATCAAACAATTAACCCAATTTCCCATCACACTATTTTCTTTATTTCTAAGGATCTGCCATAAGGATCATCTATGCTGAAAGTACTAGTTCATGAATTCCTCCGTGATACTTGTCAGTAGGTTTCTTATATTCATTCCTAAGGATTTATGCTATGGATCATCTTCTTTATTGACAACATTATTTTAGGGAATCCTCTCAATATACATGTCAATAGGTTTTAGAGTACATCTGGTCAATACATAGCTCAAAAACACCTACAGGTTGTGAACTTGCTAGCGTTCCACTAGAATGTCTAGAATAGTGTGTGATTGTCATCTATAATCTGTTAGATGATTACCTCACCTAGTACTTAAGTCTTAGTAAGTCAAGGCCTATTATTGTTTTCATCTTTCATCACCTATCTCCTTCTCTATTTTATTTAACCCTCATTAACTATTTATACCTAATTATAGGTAAGAAAATACATATATGGTAAATCATATAAAATTCATCTTATAATATTCCATCTAACATAGCACATTTTGGTTACAGATAATAAGCACATATAACATTTAATTGTTTAGATACTTTATAACTATGTGTAAGATGAAAGTGATTATGCACTCGCTTGGAAAAGTGGATGACTGACGATTTCGGCAACGCCTCGCTTCTTACTTTGAAATGACATAGACGTATTGAGTACTAAGTCTTAGTCTAGTTCGTAATCCTAGTGACTGTAATAGTTATATTCTAGATTACTCACTAATCCTAATATGTAGATCAAGATATATCAAGTAAGGATTAACCAGGCAGGATAGTTGGTAGGTAGAATCATTTCTGCATAATATCTTTTCTGAAATGCAACAACTAAGCCAACGTGACCATTCTAGACACCTTTCCCGTAATTAGATCAATCAGTATAACGAAATGGAATTACTGATAAATCTTATGTTGTAACATTTGCAATTTTTAGGTATGCTCCTTTTAACCCTTATTTGTAAACTTTTCATTTTGGTCCCTAGCTGAGTATGTTGAATGTACTCTATGAGTACGCTGGGCGTACTGGCTCGATGGTTGGACACAGAGGCTCCCACGTATGTTGGCCATACACTAAGTAGGGGAAAACCCTAGTTTTTAGGTTTTGTGCCCTATTTAATCAAATTATGTTGGCATGGAAGCATCTTATGGTCAGACTCCACTTCTCCAAACCCTAAAAATGAAACTCTAGCCTTATTTGAGTATTTTTGAGCCATTGTGTTATTTTAAAGTGGTTTTGGGTCCCTTGAAGGAAATGAAGCTTGGTGGTGAAGCTTTGGTGGACTTGGAGCTTGGAGATCCAGGACCTTCATCAACTTTGCAAGCTATTTGAGGTATAAAGCTCCTAACCTGATGGTTCCTTATGATAGATCTAGTTTAGGGTCATATTTGTGCATTTTTGGGTCCTTTAAGCCTTGTTTGGGAGTATAGTCTACTCGAACGGCTTGGGATGATAGATAACTTGATGGGTTTAGATTAACCATGTAAGGATGATGTTCTTCTTACTGGAGTTTAAAGGATATATTTGGACTTTGGGGTGTTTTTAGCCATGAAAACGCTTAAAGTCTTTGATTTTATGGTTTAAGGCATTAATATGATGTTAATTTAAGGATTGGATGTTAAGTTCTTAAGTGGTTAAGACTTTTGAGTAAGTACTTGGAGTCAGGCCGGTATGATGGGCGTAATCCTGAGTACACTAGACGTACTGGGTGCGAGCCTTGTTTCTAGAACAATCGCATACGCAGTGTGTACGCTCATTGATTTGGCTTGGATTATTTGGGATTTGTATTGATTGGGCTTGGACCTTAAATTTCTTTGGTATTAGATCATTTCTGGACTTTGGGCTATTGTTTGGCATTATGCCTTCTTGGATTGGGCCCATATTGGGCTTTGGGTGTCATTTAGGATCTTGGGCTATATTGGGCTTTTAGAGGTATTCGGTTGGGCTTTGGTTATTGGGCCAAGTGAGGAAAGGGTAAAATGGTCTTTTACCATGGAAGTTGGACAACTGAATGAGATTCATAGTTTTGGTTTAGGGACCAACTTATTGATTGGGTTTATTTGATTGGTTAGCGCGAGGATTTTCTGGATCAACGGTCCGAGCTTTTATCTAAGAAATTTAACAGCTTGGGGTGAGTTTCTTCACTGTGCTTGGCAGCTCGAAGGAACCAATTCCGGCCCATGGTATATTATGATTAGGATGCTAGTTGTTTATGTAACTCTTTCATGTATATTATGTGATATGTATAACGGGCGGGGTCCGATGCCAGGCGGGGACTGATGAGTGTACTGTATGCTATTTATCTTAATGATTCTTACATGTGTTTTATGTGTCTTTATGAATTTCAGATGGGGTCCGATGCCAGGCGAGGCCTGATGAATATGATGAGGTGGGGTCATCTCATATTATTGACAGATCTGTTCCGAGCGGGGCTCGATGTCGGGCGGGGCCCGATGGGTGTTCGTAATGGCCCATTATATTTTTGATATGTATGGTATAAGGTATCTTGGGGAACTCACTAAGCTTCATTCTTACGGTTTTCAGTTTATATTTCAGGTATTTTCGGATCGAATGAGAAGTGCTCGAGATGATCACACCGCACACACCATATTGTTCTGCATTTTGTTTGACTCTAGTGTAACTAAATTATTGTTGACATACTTTGATTTCATTATGGGTTTTTATGAAAATGTTTTGGATGATGGTTATATTATTATAAAAATAAAATTTTTTTGGTCTTAAATTTTGGGACGTTACATATTTATAGGTTCATAATGATGACTTATGACTATAAATATAAGTTACACTGAAAGAAAAAGTGTGTAGCTTAACTTATAGATGTTTTAGCAAAAACCGAGAGATTTCACTGGTAGAACTCCAAACCGAGAGCTTCTACTAGTCGAGCATCTAGCTATCCCAGAGTCTAGCTAAAAAGATTCAGAAGTTCGAAAAATTCGGACTAAAAGCAAGGAGAATGTTTGAGAGAGAGTGAGTTTGAAATGTGTGAGAAATAAGAAGCTTTCTAAGGGTATTTATAGTTGGATAATTGTGCGTCGTGCACCAACAAGATGCACGTCGTGCAAGTCGAGCTTCGTAGATCCAGCCCCATTGCTTCCACGTCTCAGGTCTAGATTCATCCACGTCCCCATGTCGACAGCCTATCACACTTTTCCTATAGGAACCTTAGCCTACGACTAGCATGTAGTTCTATCAGTTCATAATACACCAGCTCTACAATACTCATAAAATAAATAGAGATATTTTTGGAAACTACCGCTCAATCTCTGGTTGATTGTATACACTCCTTCATTGGTTTTTTCTCCTGTAAATTTTTTTTCTTTGAAATTTTTTTATGAAAATCTTCAAATCCTTAGTTTTAGTTTGGAATTACCCTAGAGTTCATCCAAAACCCTCAAACCATGGCTCTAATACCAACTTGTAACATCCAAATTTTCAAACTAAAATTTTCATTTTAAAATCCATAGAAAAACAGCTTTAATAAAAACCATCCTAGAAAAAGTCATAATGTCAAATACAGTTCCACATCAAAATATCAGAGTGTCCCAAATATCCAATAACAAATTCTCCAAGCGGATGTGTACAATCGAGATGAACCCGTCGATAATCAACAAGATCCCAGGGAATTGGGGGAAACTTTGAACTTTTTGTTAGGGCACACTTTAGTCTTGGATGTGCGAATTTTGAACTGGGAGTCAACAATCACAAAGATCCTCCTTGTCTGCGATGGAGCTAGATGAACCCGTCAACATCTTCTTTTCTGAACGGATTACCTAGAATTAGACTAATTTTGACTGATTTTGAGGGTTTTATCCGTGTTATAAGCAAGAGAAGTAAGGGACGATCCATGCATGGCATTTTTTTTTTAAATTATGATCCAAATAGGTATCCATGTCAGCAAATATTGGATCAATCGATAATAGTGATGAAGTGTGTACAATATATCAAGTTTAATGAGCAAATGTGGACAAAATGTAACATCCAAATTTTCAAACCAAA